GCAAAAAAAGTATATAATATAATATACCTACAGGATGATTTACCGAGCATACACACCCCACTCATATAATTTAATAAAGCATTTATTTAAATTCTGATTTTTAAAATTGTTAAGTATGTATACTTAAAGTACATATTTTCAAGTATTAATACTCTTATACCGTTAAAAAAGTAGGTATCTTGAGGCTATACAAATTTCCTTTTTAAATGAGTACCACTTTTTTTTATTACAAATTGTTAGTCAGTTTTATTTTAACAGTTTGATGCATTTAAATCGAAATTCAAATCAGTAGTTTCTGAGTTATTTTACTTCATATACAAAGGATAACAGTCCTTAATAATGGTTTTACATAATATAATATGTAATATTTAATCTAGTTATTATTATATATTGACATTTTTTAAAGTAAAAGATTGTAATAAAATAATATTAATTCTAATTTTAAAATCATCATATTTAGCACTCATATTTTCTTATCATGTTAAAAAAATATCAGAGACTCTTAGTTTTAGTCCTTATATTTTATGAAACTCTGCATTTACTTATTTGAATTTTGATTTATATACATACTATCTTCTGAACCATTTAAAGTAAAAAAAAAGAGTGGTTCTTATTTAAAATAAAAGTCTAATTTGCCACTGAGTACTTCATAAAAATGATATAACAGTCTAAGTTTTAAAAATCTTGTTCTTATATATATTTCAGAATTCCAAAAGTTCATTATAAAATGACAAGATTGGAGTGATAACGATTAGTTAATTCCCCTATATGCACAAATATAACTACGATATCTTCGATATAAATTTCTAACAACACCCTTGGAATTTGGAATGGAGGTTATAAAAAAAAAATCCAAATGATAGAACAAATACAAAAGTAGAAATTTGAAAAAAAATTATGAATGATTAGTTATTGAAATAGTTTTATCAAAAAGCTTTTACAAAAAATTACAAAAAAAGTGAATGCTAGTAGTTAGTGTTTTCTTCTTTTTGTGATTATTACTGCTTTATAAAGAAACATGTTTTTAAAACAACCCAAATGCAGTATGAAAATAAATAGTAGTTTTTTAACATTATATTAACAGCTGGTAAACGATGACAAACACATATTACGTCGACTTGAGAGCGATATTACATTTTGTGTGTAGTGTACATACTACGTATATATTCTACAACAGCATAATATAGTACATAAAGTATGGTGGGCATTGTACTTTTTTGGTATAGTAGTAATTTAGGTGTTTCCATTTTCCACCGAAATAAGATAAAAACCTCTTAGAAAGCCCCTAGATATTTACAGTAGGTAAAAGTATATGTATATTATATAGTACCTTTAATGTACGTTATCACAATGCAATGTAAGCCATTATAGAGCTGCTGAATCAAGCAGAGGAATATTTTCGATTTGTGGAGATCGCCAAACACATAACATAACCTAAATGTATCACTCGAATATTACACATTCTGGATACATCCGTGGATAACGCACATTTAAAAATAGTGATAATGATCCATTATAATTTCGGTGGTGAAAGTAACGCCCCTCAAATCGATTGAAAATAATATTAACGAGTCACGGCCCCATCAGTTTGAACTCAAAAACAAGATATCTGTGCTGCATTAAACAAGGATAATACTCTTAGTTGATCAATATTCAATAAACATGTAGATGTTATTTATAAATCAAAAGAACAAGATACGCAGGATATCTTCAATAATTCATCCGTTGTGGTTATCAGTGTTTCATTACAATTTCTGTGAAAATTAATTTTCAAAGTGCCAACTATAGTCTTGATTTTTCATTAAAGATTAAAACTATACTTGAAACAGCTGAAACTTTAAGAGTATTAGTGTATTACTATAAATAGAAATGGAAAAAAAGTATGTCGGGCCAAATCTAAAAAATATAACAATTCATTATTTTGGTCTTTATTTAATTTTTATAACATTTATATGATACAATATTATGTGCTAAAACTATACCTATCTTGATTTAATTATTCATAAAGTACGACTGTTTAATAAGGTTTCCAATATTAAATATAAATAGAATAAGTGTTGGTAGATAATATACAGAACCTTTATTATTATTCACCCACACACTAACCAATAAATAAAACAACGGAAATATAAATAATAAAAAATAAACATAATTTATAAGTTTATAACAATTTAATATTCAGGAAGTTAAGAAGAAAAAAATATTTCATTACCGGAAAACCCTATTAAAAGTTCTTGACAAAAAAAAAAGAACCTATTTACCTCAATTTCCTTTTATTTAATGTATCCATAAAATATAGACTGTAGGTACAACAATATTGTAGTGATTTGAATGATACATTGTACATAAAAAAGTGAGTGTATTATAAAGTACATAGACAATAGACATAACAGAATAACCGTTCTGCAGTTCTGCGTATAATTCAAACAATTTATCTATTAATAAAATATGCCACTGAATTAATATGTTATAAAATGTGTAATATTATTCTAGCAAGCAAGTTAATATTCTATTCATTACCATAGATAAAACGTATAACAAAAGCGGTTTATCAAATTTTAAATTAATATTAGTTTTTTATATTGATGATATTATTTATATTAACTTTAGTACGATATTAAAAAAAAAACAAAATACAAACACGCTGTAGATTAATAATATCCGTGTTTGTAATAACATACACTAAGTGAATTTTATATTCTATAATACCATAATTATTCATTATATTATGTAATATTTAAAATTCAAATAATTTAAATTGTAATAGGTAAAATGTTATTATTATTTAATATTTTACTGTAAAATAACAGACTGAATATTTTGTGTTATATTATATCACATGAATAATTTAAACAGTTCATTAAATTTTTCATCATTTCTCAAATTTTAAGTATAAATTAACGAATTCCTGATGAAAGTACTTATATTTTTTGTTTGCACATTATGAAATTTTAGCATAAACAAACTCTATTCAAAATACAAATTATTAAAAAACCTTGTATTAATATATTTTTCATAAGATATCAACTTATAAACATATATAACATATTGGAAAATATGTTATCATAAATTTAGTACTCAGCAGTAGGCTCAAAAAATATCAATGTAATCATCTTATAATAAAAATTTTTTTAGAAAGAGTTATCTGAATTGTGCAATACGTAATAAAGCTCTTTAGAAATTGAGAAATAAATATTAATTACTTCTCTAACTTCAATCTATTTAAAAGTATGTATTAAATAAAATTTAATCACTATCTGAAAATCATTACTGCATACAATAATAATATTATTATATTTACCAATGTAAAAATGTCGTATGTAACATTACTAGCAATATATATTCATCATAGACCAAAACATCAAATATGTATATTATTATGTTTTATTACATGTATGTATAAATCTGTAAAAGATTAGTTACCTAAATTATTTAATTGTTAGTACATAACTCTTTTATTCTAATTCGGCTAATTTAAGAACATTTCCCCTCCAACATAAGTTTTTGCTATAAAAGGTAAGCAAACTTATCATGCTACTTGTTATAAAAGAAATATTGTTTGAAAAATATAAAATATAATAATAATAATTATTATTATTATTGTTATTATAATTAGTATTACATTAATTAAACAAGACTAAGACTAATGAAAACAATTCTTGTAAAAACAGTTATGGAAACTTACTGTGGTGTCATTATTTAATTTGACTTATCAATAATAATTATTAACACATTTTAGTTGATTCAATAGTTACAAAAATAATATCGTTCAATCAACAAACATAACAATACTATAATAATATACACCTAACATTTATTTACTGAGGTAAAATAATTATTTTGTTAATTAATTAATTAATTAATATTTATATATTATACCTAAAGAAATTGATTAACAAAAATATTGTTTAGCTCATTCCAATGGTAAATACATTGCAACTATTTATATTCAAGTCCAATAAATTCTGCCTAAAATTTCAATTATTGCATAACTTCTAAATAGATAATTAAAGTATTCAAATCGATAAAAAAATTAATGTAAGTACATTAAAAAATGCTTGTATCATTTTTTACTACATTGGAAACTATAAAATATTTGGAACCAACGGTAATATTTGGAATATAGTATCGTCCAATATGATTGATGGTTCATTAGACATTTTAGAAACATTATCAGTATACCTATATTATATATATATATATGTAATATATATATCAAAAAACTATGTAAGTAATTTTAGTATAATAATAAATAATATAACTGAGCATTAATATTCAATAATACACAGAAAATAATTAATCATAAACATTTTGTAGTCTGTAGCTACTAGCTGAATTATAAATGTATCATTAAAATATTGCCAACACAATTGTTTAGTTATGGTTATAGTGAGCATAAAATACAGTATATCAATAAAAGTAGTTATAATTAATTTATATTCTTATATATTATATTGGTTCTAGTCATTGTTGTATTTGTATGTGGTTTGAAACGAAACCTAGTAAGTTGTATTCAAAGGCTTAACATAGAGTTGGACTGCACGTGCCACGCAGTTGTTTTTCAATAAATAATAATAACTAATAATATAATATGATACGAAAAATACAATTTGTACAGTATTGTATTCATGGTTTGTTGGATATTTTAATTTTATCAATAACTAATTATATTCAAGTAATAATAGATATACTATTATTATTAAAAAGTAATAAAAACGTATCCTAACTATGATACATTTACAATTAATTTTTTGATGCCCATAGGGACTATAATTTTAAACTCGTTGTCGACACGATTAATGAAGTTCAATATATATCATGACTTATATTTGAGCAAAAAATGTGTTGGCACGCATCGGAATTTCGAAAAATAAGTACCTATTGAAAATAATAATTAATCGAATAGAAATGAATATTAAGACCATTCAGTATTGGTGTGACGTGTGCGCGTGTGTGCGTTTGCTCGGGAAAAAGGAATAAAACACGTATTTCGTATTTACCGGTTATTCTGCAGTCACCAGTCAGTCTGATCGATGTTCCAAGTCCCGCGACGCATATGTAATAGATTCTAAAAAAAAGAAAAACATAGGCTTATTCTCCTGCCTGTGACATTTTTACATCATAAAAATTTACGATTTTTAGTGTGAAGGAAATCTCTCTATCGGATGCTGGGGGGGGGGGAAGACACATCCGAATTCAATTTTCCACTATATACGTCTTAACGACAGCCACCGCCGTCGACCTTAAAGAGGTAAAAGAGGGAGAAAAAATGGTATGCGGGGGGGGGGGAGAGGGAGTGGATGAAAAAGAAAATAATAATGTCACCGTGAAAAGATTGTTGTACCGGGACAAGACCTGAATAACAGTCGCCTTATAGGTTTTTTCCGCTCCTATATTCTGTTCAGTCTACGCTATACAACGGTTGCAAAGCGACTCTCCCGGATTTCCGTATTTTATTCTGACTGTACTTCTCCTATCCTGCCATTGCGACCATTACGTCCTTTGTCGCGGTTCGACTCTGGCCACAAAGTGTACATACATAAGACGTACGCGTTATCGTTATGTGTGTATATTATGAACATATACAGGATGATTCAAATCATGATCACTCCGTTTTGCCCTTGAGCAATGAATTTATTCAAACATCCTGATTTTCTAAAATATTAAGTACATACGCCTTTAAGACCATATCATTAATATAAAATATTTACAATTCTTGCAAAATGTACATAGTAAAAATAAAAGTACAAACTTTTTTTCTAACGAGAACCATTATTTATAATAAGTCTATTATTACATTTTTATGTGTATACAATGAGTTGTTTTGGAAATATTTGACATTCTGTTTGTACTTATACAAACTATAACAATTATAGATTTATATAGAAGACACCGAATCTGCGTTCTATACCACTAGAGCTAATAACAAGTATACTTGAAAATTAAAAATATTCTAATTTTTTTTATCATTTAGAGATGTGAGGGAGAGGGGTTGAATATGCTACGTGGATCACCCTGTACTCATATATGAATTATATACATTTATGTATCATGTATGCTTATATAACTTTGGGATCTGGACGACGAAGTAAAAAATACCTACACCAGATGTATATAAAAATAAAAAACGGGGCAATTCGTTTTTTCACTGTCGAGATAACGAATTTGGCTAAGGGATATTGGTTTTACCCGGATGACGTGTGACCTGAATAAACATCTTAAATGGTCTCCCTGTTGGATCTGTTTACGATCGCTGACCGTAATGTAGGTACATTTCAAACGTCCAGATTGTTATACGGTTGGAAATTAAACGTTCCCACTATACATACAACCCACTCGTATATATACATATATTATAATAGCTGCAGTACGTGGTTGTCGCATAATGCGGTTTATTGTCGAGATGATTGTGTCAGATGGGTCCGACATTATAAACAGATCATTAACATTTTTTTTTAACGAATCAAAATATAATAATATAATATCGAACAAATATATGACCCTACAGGGATAAATATAATATTTACAGTGAGCAAAAAATGAGTAAATTGAAATATTTCGAAATATCGGTATATGTTTTAAAGACATTTTACCTATTTTTTACGCAGCTTTTTATACAACATTATGTTTTAGATAAATAATCAGTGACAATAGTTGTATTATATTAATTTGCTAAGTTTTCATTTAGATCCCATACAATTGTACATATTATACTATGCATATTTATGGTTATGTGATAATATGCCTAGGTAATCGATTTGTTTAAAATTGTATTTATATTGGACATTTTTATAATATGTAGAGCCACATTAACTTTAAACAGTAAATTATTTATTTGTATTTTGTAAGGTTAGATCAGTTAATAATATAAAAAAAATACATGTTTACCAATCTATTGAATCGTCTTTTACGATTTTAGTAGGTAGGTAAAGTAGGTACTCAGATAAAAAAGGTATTTTTAGAAGTGCAAATTCTTAAGTATTTTTAGCCTGAAAAAATATCGAAATTTATTAATCTAAACACTTAATCTTTAAAAAAGAAATTATTTTATCCAACTTCAAATAAAATCACTTAAATAGTTCTTATTTTTATCTTCTTCAATTGTTTTTTTTCTATTCATACAGTTTAAGATTATTCTAAAATAACTTTATGTACTTATTACAAATTAAAATAAACTTAATTTAAAATAATATATTTTAATTCCTACAATATTTGATGATATTGTATTCGTATTAAGTTGTAGTGGGACATCACACATGCTATCGCATTGCTATTAATGTCCTATGTGGTATCAATAGTCCATCTTCAATATTAATATAATGTTCTCGTTAACTTTAATTCAATTTTTTCAAGGTAATAATACATTGCTGTTTTTTTACATCGTCTTGCAATATTTCATTTGCGACCTAATTTTAATATAGCGCCGATAAATAGTAACAAACTTTGCACAGTGGGTATAAGGCTTATGTTTAAAAAACATCAAACTGAAATACTGGATTATAATTTTTAAATGATAGATTAAGTTTGTAATCTCTTTTGGTGTCACATCAAATAAAAAAATATGTTGTACCCATATCGCTATATATAATAAACCGACTATTATGAACATACCCAAACCCAAGTTAAGTTGAATTCACAGCCCACAGGTAATGCATTTTCATATTATTCACATTTAATAAATTTGATATTTTTCTAGCAAAAAGTTTTAAATCATATATACAGACTAAAAATACTCAAATATTTTTATGATTCTTTTATATTCTAGCTATTTATATATATAAATATAAATACTTTATGTCAGGTAATTTGCAACTGTTCAATGTGTACGCTCTTTGTATTATTAAAAATCATCAAAATATAATACTGCTACTGTATACACAATTATTACAAAATGTTAGAATGTTTATATTATTTATTTTTTGGTTTATATCATATAATAAAAATAACTTTCATATATTTATATTAAGTTTTTTTTTCTACATTATACGTTCAGAATTATTTGCCAATTCCATATATTTACTATTCAATTTAACATCAAATTTTTAAATAAAGAGTATAATATGTATTTAAAGTGTAAGAGGATATAATTCATATTATACAATAAAATGTAACAATAATTTATTGCTAACATAAAACATTTATACTTGTTTTATAATTTTAATAATCTAATGGGTCAGAGCTTTCAACATTTTTGATTAATGGATAAATATTTTATAGGCACTTGAGAGTGTTTGAATTCTTACAAAATTAATGTTTACCTAATTTCCAGGCGATCATCTAAGTATACTCGTATTTCACTTGTGTAAGATTCAGATATTGCTTGTGAATAATTAATTTTATTGGTTTGCTAGTAGTCAAAATATAAATTTAGAAATTACTGAGTATTGACACGATTACACAGATTCATATATAGATTCATACATATCTATCAAAAACATCGATCTTAAAGTATTAGATTTTAGTGAGCCATAAACACGCTTAGAATATAATTATTATTATTATTAATATAATTTTCATTGAAACAATTCAGTAGTTTTTGAATCTATAGAAGACAAACAAAAAAAACATTCGTGTTTATAGTTTACGAGTATACTATATTATGTAGTCATGTAGAAGATATGGCATGTACAAATGTTTACAATAATTGTATTTAAAAAAAATTAATCTATCTTAAAATTAATCATCTAAATATTGTGTTTGATAATAAATGTCAATTGAAACATTTGAAACAAAACAGAAAACAATAAAACAAATATAGAATTATTTTAACTTAGTCTAAGTCGGGCTTATACCCATTTGCATTAAAATTATTACTCCATAAATTATTTGTATTTATAATTATCTAGTCTACCTATCTACATCGTTTTATCATAGATTTCAATAGATTATCCATTTTTATTCTGAAAACATCCTTTATAATTCAAAAACTTTTTTTTTTATCTATGTTTTCTTAATTAACAATCATTATAAGTCATGAGTATACCGTATGAAACTTTAAAATTCTTAAAAATTAGCAGTATTATAAATATAAAACATAATAGTAGTATCAACCTTAGCCACTATCTGACAAAACTAAACTGAAAATTCTTTCTCTATATATATAACTAAATATTGACTAGCTAACAGTTATTTTTTCTTCTTCTACGAAATGGGTACCACAATCAAGTTATAGTTATAGTATCTAATATTATAATACTTTTGTGTTAAGTGGTGGTAGGTTCTTATTATATTTATCAAAGTATATCTGACTAAATATGCATTTCGTCAAACATAACTAGATTATCGTGTGGTTATTGTTATTGTTATTGAAATTATTATTATTAATATTAATCTCAATGAACTTAGACTGTGGTGATTTCTTGAAGTTTCTTTGCACTGGTCCTGGTACCAATTAGGTATTCTTTATGTATTTAGTGATTTGCAATTCACCCAGCATTCATACCTTCTTTTTTTTTTTTAATAACGCCGTTTTTGTAAGTATATTTAAATTTTGAATAATCAAAACTTGAATAAATGAAAAAATTCAGTCAAGCGCGCTTGGTGAATCACTTTGTTTATGAATTAAGGTATGACCACACAAAATCTTTTCAATATTAACCATAAACGATATTTTTACAAAAATAAAAAATACTATTGTTAAATTGTAATTCCTCATTTCGATCTGTATCCAAAACACGACCTATTCTAACCGAATACCTAACATAAATACTACTATAGAGTATTATTTGAAATATATATTTCAGTTTTACGATATTATATACAACTACATTGAAAGTTATGGTATGTCCGACTATAGAAGAAAAACGTAAAAACAACCCACATACTCCCAAAATATAGATACGTTAGTGACTGCTGGGAAGCTGTATAAAGGGATTTCGTGCAATAATTTTGTTATTTTATTATTTTTACATCATATCAAAACAATGATGTTGTCCTTAACAAATAGTGTTTTGTCCATTGAAACGCGTCCCAAAACTTTTATCGCTGACCTTTTTTGTGTGGTTTGAATTCGTTTTCTTCTACTTTCAAGAGCACTATAGGCTTAGGGAGCAACAAAAAACAATATAT